CCCCCACCTGGGTCCCTGTGGCTGACTGTTCCTCTGTCTGGCTTCCTGGCTTTTAACCCCCTTTCTCCTGCTCTTCTGGCTGCTGCTTTGGGCGTCCCTGAGTTGTCTCTCCTCACCTGCATCCCTGAGGCTTACTGCTCTTCTGTCCGAGTTCCTGGCTTTTATCCCCCTTCTCCTGCTTTCCCGTCCTGCTGCTTTGGGCGGGCCTGAGTTTCCTCTCTTCACCTAATCCCTTCAGCTGATTGCTCTTCTCTTTGGCTTCCTGGCTTTTAATCCCCTTTCCCTGCTCTTCCTGCCTGCTGCTTTGGGCGTCCCCGAGTTGTCTCTCCTCATCTGTATCCCTGGGGCTGACTGCTCTTCTGTCCAGGTTCCTGGCTTTTAGTACCCTTTCTCCTGCTCTTCCGGCCTGCTGCTTTGGGTGTCCCTGAGTTGTCTCTCCTCACCTGTATCCCTGGGGCTGACTTCTCTTCTGTCTGGGTTCCTGGCTTTTAATCCCCTTTCTCCTGCTCTTCCGGCCTGCTGCTTTCGGCGTTCCTGAGTTGTCTCTCCTCACCTGTAACCCTAGGGTTGACTATAACATACATCTTGATCACTGCACCACCAGCATTATTGGACACTATTTTCTTATTCTTTATCAATAGAGCTGGGTTTTAATTATTTTAACAGTTCTACTGAGATATCACGTATCAAACAATTTATTCATCTACAGTATACAATTCAATGATTTCTACTATATTCAGAGTATGCATCTATTATCACAACCACTGTTAGAACATTTCCACTGCCCCCAAAAGAATCCATGCACTCCTTGGCCATCACCCCCAATTCTGCCATAGGCAAACACTAATCTACTTTCTATCTCTATAGATTTGCCTACTCATATAGATGGAATCATACAATATATAGTCCTTTGTGATTGAGTTTTAAGTGCAAGGAAACACACAGCCCCTCTATAATCTTAAGAAAAGGAGCTCTGGTGGTGTAGTGGTTAAAGCATTTGGCTGCTCACCAAAAAGTCTGGCAGTTTGAACCCACCAGCCACTGCACAGGAGAAAGATGAGGCAGTCTGCTTCCATGAAGATTTACAGCTTCGAGGCAGTTCTACTCTATCCTATAGGGTCACAATGAGTTGGAATAGACTTGATGGCAGTAGGTTAATCATAAGACAATCTAAAAGATAAATTTGATTCCTTGATTTTATATCTTCTGATATAGCTAAACATTATTAACACATTTCTAATTGATAACTTCTTTTCAAATGAAATAATCCTATAAAATTTTACATTTATATTAAATACTATTGAAAAAATTCAAAGACTATTGTTATAAGTATCTCTTTACTGAAGATATACATCATGGGGGAAAACGTTATATAACTTAAAAAAATGGACAGATCCGAACCTTAGCATCCTAGGAGCCTTGCTGGCGTAGTGCCTAAGGCATTTGATGTCTAACCAGAAGGCTGGTGGTTCAAACCCACCAGCCTAGGATAGAATCTGTTTAATAAACAGGTGAGATATATTTGATAACACACTGTTCTCCTTCAAGTGGCATTTTTCAGGGCTTATGGCTACCTATTGGAAGTAAAACTATGAATAAAGCATTATCCTTACCTTCAGTCAATTTACAAGTAAAGTAGGAAGAAATAAGGAAATCGTGTACAATAATGCTGGTGGTGCAGTGATCAAGATGTATGTTATAGTGCAGCATAAAACACACTTTACAAGCATACTCTTTCCATGTAAAGTGAGAAGCATCTGAAATGTTATAGATTTGTATTTTAAAATCTCCATAGTCAACATCACTATCTGTTCCTGCTTCACACTGAGGTTTATTAAACATCATAAAGGTCAAAATTTTTTCTCTCTCTGGTGGTGCAGTGATTTAAGCACTCTTGTTGGCTTAAACCAAAAGATCTTGGCTGTTAACCAAAAGATCAGTGGTTCTAACCCACAAGCAGCTCCGTGGTAGAAAGATGTGGCAGTATACTTCTATCAAGATTTATAGCCCTGGAAACCCTATGGGTAGTTCACCTCTGTCCTATAAGGTTGTTATGCATCAAAATGGACTCAACAGCAGTGGGTAATCCACTAATCTACAAAAATTCCTATTTCTCAAGCTGACTACTTTTTGTAATTTTTTTAAACCAAAATTTTCTTTCACCAATATGATAAACTGCATAAACAAGTAAGAAAAAAAAAAAAAAAAAAACTCTTAATCATTTTCAAACTAATTTAGAGGCTGGGAGGAAAGGGTAAAAGATAGACATTAGAATTGAAAAAAGGTACATATCAATACACACAGATATACATGTAGTATTTTCTTTCTTTCTTTCTACTTTTGTAACTTTTCCACAGCTTCTTGGGGAGCCGTCACCAAAAGAATGGAGATACCCAACTGGAGTAGCAAGCACAGGTTACAGTCTCACTCTGAAGTTAATAAATGACAGAATCAATGATGCTACCCAACTGTTTCAAACTTGTTATGTATACATAAAATATGTAGTGATTGTATAGTTTCATAATTTGAACACAAATTTATTTCAATATAATCCTAATTAATTATTATTTAATATAATCCTACTTAAATTCTTAGGATTGTGAGGCTGGCACAGGACCGGGCAGTGTTTTGTTTTGTTGTGCACAGGGTTACACTGAGGTAGAGATGACAAAATGGCACCTAACAATAATACTTAAATTCTTCATCTCTTAAATGGACACCTGCTCAAATTAACATGATTAAATGAGGTCATTTGTTATGTAACATGTAACAAGTTCTAAAAATGGAAAAGTATGAGCTCTGGTGGCATACTGCCTAAGGTATGTGACTACTAACCAGGAGGCTGGTGGTTCAAACCCACCAGCCACTCCTCAGAAGGAAGACTAGGTAATCTACTTTCACAGTGATACGACCTCAGAAACTCAAGGAGGGGTCGCTATGAGTTGGAACTGACTCGACAGCAGTGAGTCTGGTTTTTTTGGCTTATCATCCAATAAAAAGTGACAAAATTGAGACCCAAAATTTGTCAGCAGGAAAACTGAGGCCAAAACTGAAAATTCCTGACAATTAACCACAAAGCTTCTACTATTCTTGGACAAAAGAGCATATTTTACAGTTTCCATTTAGGAAATCAAAGCACGATATTCAAATGAATGAAAGTTATGAAATAAACATAAAGTACTTAAAATAGTTGAGGTATTATAACTTCTTTCTCTCATTCATTAATTCATACTATAATACATTCTGGATACTATTACTTTTTCTATTTGATTTTGCTTCCAGTTGGAATTCATGAGTTAATCCTATTCAAAAGAAGAGCTTTTAGCAACTCACATGAGTAATCCTGAGTTTCAAATTTCTAAATTGTCCTCTTCCTGAAGTTATAAAGAAATGTATTTTGAAAGAGCTATGTTCATCTCTAGTGCTGGTTAACTGACATAGGGTACTACTACCTTTCTAACACCTTTTTCTTCTGAATATTTTACAACTATTTAAGAAACAAAGGACAAAATGGTATTAACCTACAAACTACTTATGCAATGCATAGTTACATTTTTTTCCTATGAGTTTAAAAATTCATATAAAAAAATAACCATCTTACCACTCTTCCAAGGTCCAGCCCCTCCCCGGAACCACACCAGAGAAAAATAAATGATCGAGGTGCTGCAATCTCATCGATTTCTAATTTCATAATCTAGAAGAAACCAAAATAATACCACATAAAGTCTCTTATTTCCCATTCGTCCTAAATCCAAAAGAATACTCATTATTTATCAGGACTCTCAGTATATATGTTCTTTAAATATGCTCAATTTTAATTAGGAAATATAATGGAAAATATATTTTATCCTTAAAATTTCTTGATTCTAGTGCTCTTTTATCTACACAAGTAACACATTCATGCATTCACACACAGATACATACAGTTGCTCTAATATGGGAAGAATTTATAGGAAAACTTTTATAGAATCATGGAATTTCATAAGATACAGCGTAAGAGATATTCTAAGGCAAACTTATTTATGAAAACAGAAACATAAATGAAAAAAGTAAGATGAAATGATCCCTAAGTTAGGGCGAAATAAAGATGAAATGTAAGAGTAAGTGTTTAGTATAAGATAAAATAACTCAATATGCACATTTTATTAAAATAACTACTGAAGTCTGTGACACCAAAAAAAAAAAAAAACATAATTTATAACTTTATCTTTTATGTGTTGTATGTGGCACATTACAAAAAAAAAAGCCCTTCAATAATTAAATTTTAGAAATATCTTCTCCTATAAACGACTACTGCAGGAGCAACCATTTTATATGCCATTCTTTTTTTCCCAATTTCTTTAAAAGATACCAAGTTTCAGAGACCATGGTGCAAGCAAGAATTTATTAGTTTCATCTCTTAAGAAAATTTTAACTTCTACCTAAATAACAGATGCATGTAAGTTATAACCATATCATCTCTAAGGTATGCAGGTAAAAACGAAGTATTTAATAGTAATAATGAAAATAAGCTACAATATACATAAACGTATTCAGCTTGACACTTATCATTTAAGTCTTGAGATTTTGCTCTTCGTTAAATATTCTCATAGTATAGAAACATCCACTCTACTAACTATAAGAATATGAACATGTATATGAATCTATATATTTCTGTATACATTTCTATGTGGTATATACAGTTAAAGATAAGTGATGGTACACATCAGAAAAGAGCATTAAGTAAATTAATTGTTCTCTAGTGACACGTCAATTCTGAAAATTAGTGTCAATATTTAAAATAAGAGGAGCTCTGGTGGCGTAATGCCGAAGGCATCTGACTGCAAACCAGAAGGCTGGCAGTTCAAACCTACCAGCCACTCCTCAGATGAAAGACTGAGCAATCTACTTCCACAGAGATACTGCCTAGGAACCAAGGAGGGGTCACTATGAGTCGGATTTGACTCGACAGCAGTGAGTTTGTTTTTTTTTTATTTTATTTTAAATAAGTGCTTATTTCTTTAATCAAAACACAATGACCATCACCACTGATTCCGTAAAAAACCCAAACACTTTTCTTATTTCTTATATTAACTACTATGGGAGCTATGGTTGCACAGTGCCTAAGGCATTTGATTTGACTGCTAACCAGAAGGCTGGTGGTTCAAATCTACCAGCCACTCCTCAGAAGGAAGACTGGGCAATTTACTTCTGTGGAGATGTTGTTGTTGTTGTTGTTATGTGCTGTCGAGTCAGACCCGACTCATAGCAACCCCTCCGTGGGTTTCCGAGGCGGTATCACTATGGAAGTAGATTGCCCAACCTTCCTTCCAAGGAGTGGCTGGTGGGTTTGAACCATCAGCCTTCTAATTAGCAGTCAAGTGCCTTAGGCATTACGCTACCAGAGCTCCTTCCATGGAGATACCACCTCGGAAATCCAAGGAGGAGTCGCTATGAGGTGAACTGACTCAACAGCAGTGAGTTTGGTTTTGGCATATATGGATATATTCCTGCATATGTTTATATGTGGTATAGCTAAAGGTAAGTGATGGCACACACCACAGAAGAGCATTAAGCAAATTAATTATTCTCTATTGACATGTCAATTCTGAAAATTAAGTGTTGGTATTTTAAGTAAGTGCTCTGCCTCTCCGCCAAGCTCCACACAGCAATTAGACTACGTTACTAAGCTAGTAAAAGCCCTTCAAGGGCTCCTTAATGCCTTTAGGTTAAAAATCCAAGCTCCTAAAATGGCATGATGTCAGTATGTTTCAATTCATGTTCCAATAACACCAACCTACAGATAGACCTTCCCTACCCACAAACTAGATACTTTTTCTTGTCCATCTTTTCTGCTCCTGCTGCTCCTCAAGCTTTTCGCATAAGTGGGAAAGCATGCCTTTCCCATATCATTCTCAGTCTGGCTAGTTCCAACTAATCTATTTATATTATACTGTTCACATGTCACCTGCCTGAGTTCATGTGTCCCATCTCCCTAGGCTTGGTCAATTGTTTTCAGCATCTTATAATTTCCTCTATTATCAAACCAATAAAACTATAATGTAATTATCAGTTAAGGTGAAAGTTCATTCCATTAAATTTTGTGCTCCTTAAGGACAAGTACAAAGTCTTATTTATCTTTGAATCCCTAGTACATCACCTAGTACACAGTGGTTGCCCAACAAGTATTTGTTACTTTTGTTACTCATCAGTACAATTTATGTAACTACCTTAAGTCATCAGCCTGCTTAAATTTATTATTTGCAAAAACATAACTTTATCACAATAACATTATACTGAGATTATGTGTTTATACATCCTTTTGATCTACTATACTGTAAGCTCCTTCAAAAGTAGGGATCATGAGACATATATCATCATACTCTGATGTTTACTAAAAGTAATGGGATGCAAATGAATTATCAGTCATTCTGTTTTTAGACTTTTCTAGCTATATCCCCAAAGACTTGAAGACTGTGAGTCTTCAGTCTGCTCATTCACTACCTGTTCAAGTATTGCCCAAAAAGAGATGAATCAGATAATGTAATATATGTCAATGTACCTTGGACATTCAGTAACAGTATACATTATAAATTAAAAGTTATGATTCCTACAAAGTAGTGATACTTATAATCTTACTTTCTTATCAAATAAACAAATATTCATTTCAACAATAAATAATTCATTAAAATACAGAAAGTTTCATCATACATCATCCCAAGTCCAGCATTTTTCATTAGCAGTGATACCAGTTTCTCTGTAATATTCTTCTAAAGGAGGTTCCAGGAGAATCACATCAAATTTGGGTGTCAGTTCTCTGATGTCAAAAGCTTCTATATCTGCTTGTAAGTACCTATTTAAGTATAAAAAACGAGTAAGGGATTTTCAAATAATTTATAGATAGTAATGAAATAAACTATTTAAATATTAATAAACATTATTTACCAAGTAACTCACTGCCGTCGAGTCGGATCCGACTCATAGCGACCACTCCTTGGGTTTCTGAAGCGGTATCACTACGGAAGTAGACTCTCCAACCTTCCTAAAGAGTGGCTGGTGGGTTTGAACTGCCAGCCTTCTGGTTAGCAGTCAAATGCCTTAGGCACTATGCTACCAGAGCTCCCATTTACCAAGTAGTAATGAGCTAATTACTAAGTGCCTCTTTACAGAGCAGTATCTTTCTTTAGTACCAAAACAACCCACAAAAACCCTAAACACCAAACTCACTGCCATCAAGTCTAATGGGACTCATAGCAACCCCTCCTGGGTTTTCAAGGCAATATCACTATGGAAGTAGATTGCCCAACCTTCTTTCCTTCCTTCTGAGGAGTGGCTAGTGGGTTTGAACCACCAGCCTTCTGGTTAGCAGTCAAATGCCTTAGGTACTAATTTAAAAGACCTTATACATATTTCTGAGAAAAAAAAAAAACATTGTTTTCGCCAAATGTTAAAATGAATTGTCATTTTCTAAAATGTTAAGAATAGTTATCTCTGGATGATAAATTATAATTAATTTTTCTCTTTTTCATCTAAGTTTTGTAAGCCTTCTACATTAAACAAATGATTGTGTTAGAAGAAAAAAATTATTATAAAAACATTTTAAGAAAATTGTCAAGAATAAATACCTCAAAATTACATATATATATATATATTTTTTTTTTTTTTTAAAGGTCAGGTTTGCTGGTCTAGTAGAGCCTGTGAAACCCTTGAGACTAAGGCCCCTAGCTGTCCTCCGGGTCTGGAATTAAACTCACTCTTGTGGCTTCCAGCCAAATAAAAGACTGGCATATGGACTGAACATTTACATTATAGGTAAATACACCCCTTGGAGAGATCAATAATGGGAGAACAGAAGAGCTGTGTATGCACAGGGAGACTGCTTGGCGGGCAGGAGTGCATGGCAGGGAAGAATACAGGGAAGAGGTAACTATGGGAAAGAAGTGTGAAGAGAACTGTTATACTATGGGAAACTATAGCCAATGTCATGAGACAAAATGTGTATAAACTGCTGTATGGAAAATGAATTTGCTCTATAAACTTTCACCCAAATCACAATAAAAATTAAAAAAAAAAAGGAAAATTGTCAAGAATACAAGAAACATGAATGATTTTTTAAGAAAAAAAATTTAAACACAATTTAAGAAAATGATCTATAAAGCTGAAAAAAAATTAAGTGATAACCTACTATAATTACAGAATTATAGTTTCAAATTAACATTTTATTATAAAGGAAAAATAGAATATGCTAATCACGCACTTGTTGAAATGCTTTTTAAAGAAAAGTTGCAAGATAAACAGATTGATATTTCAAGCCCAAATTGGGAGCAAGAATAAATCAATAAAAACACTTACATAGGAGGGGTATTAGATTTAGCTATTAACTCATCTTTCAGCCTGATGAGCTCTCTTAGTTTAGGATATTCTTCAAACCTGTCAGCTAAACCTGAGGAAAAATATCAAAGAATTCAAAAGTTATGAGCCCTCTCAGGAAAGCAAAACAAGACAATACACATGTCATTTTAACCCTACTTTTTTTTATACAAGGATAATTTTGAGTACTTTAAAAAAATTCAAGTACACATTTCATAATGAATAACCATTACTCCATGTACAGGTAAAGACCCATATATTCTAAAACTAGTCCAGATCACTAAGCCGTTTAATCTCTTGTATTTATTAAGATGTTTGCATCTGTCTCTTCTCATTTTCAGTCGTACCACATTAGCAAATGCAGGTTCTGAAAGTTTTATTCCATCAATGTCATTAAAGTCAACTCGACTTGGAGGAAGCAGCCAGTCATATTTTGTATGTCTTCCAACATACAAAAGGTGAGGGGCTCACCTTCCGGCACTATATCAGACAATGCTCCACTGGTGTTCCTAAGTTTTTCACTGGCCAATTATTTTAGAAGTAGATTTCTAGGTCCTTCATCCGAAAATGAGAAGGAACAGCTACAAACAACTATTAATAATCAGAATATGGAATGTATGAAGTATAAATCTAGGAAAATTGGAACTTGTCAAAAATGAAATGGAACACATGAAGATAGAATCATCTTAGGCATAAGTGAGATGGAATGGACTGGAATTGGCCATTTTGAATCAGATAATCACATGATCAGGAGGTAGCGTTTGATCTACTATGCCAGGAATGACAAACTGAAAAGGAACAGTGTCCCGTTCATTGTAAAAAAAGAATATTTCAAGATATATCCTGAAATGCAACACTTCAGTGATAGGGATAATATCCATACACCTACAAGAAGACCAGTTAATAAAACTATTATTCAAATTTACACACCAACCACTACTGCTAAAAACGAAGAATCTAAAGATTTTCACCAACTTCTGCAGTCTATAACTGATCAAACATGCAAGCAAGATACAATGGTAATTACTCGTGATTGCAATACAAAAGCTGGAAACGAAGGAACATTAGGTGGAAAATATGGCCTTGGTAGTAGAGATGATGCCAGAGATCATATGACAGAACTTTGTAAGATCAATGTACAATCATTGGAAATAATTTTTAAAAAAAACAAAACAAACTGCAACTATATAGGTGGATTTTGCTGGATGGAATACTCAGGAATCAAACTGATTACATCTGTGGAAAGAAATAATGAAATACTCAGTACTGTAATCAGTCTCAATAAGGCCAGGGGCAAGTGTAAAACAGAACATCATTTGGTCATATGCAAGTCATGCTAAAGCTCAAGAAAATTAAAATAAGTCTACAAGAGGCAAAGTACAACCTTAAGTATGTATCAGCTGAATTTAGAAACCATCTCAAGAACAGATATGATGCACTGAACACTAATGTGGGATGACATCAAGGACATAAGCTTGAAGAAAGCAAAACGTCATTAAAAAGACAGGAAAGAAAGAAAAGATTAAAATGGATGTCAGAAGAGACTCTGAAACTTGTTCCTGAATGGAGAGTGGCTAAAGTGAATGGAAAAAATGTTCAAGTAAAATAAATGAAGAGATGATTTTGAAGAGGGGCTCAAGAAGACAAAGCATTAAAATGAAATGTAAGAAGACTGGAATTAGAAATCCAAAGAAGAAGAACTTAGCATTTCTCAAGCTGAAGGAACTGAAGAAAAAATTAATCATCAAGCTGCAATACTGATGAATTTTAATGGCAAAATATTGAATGATGCAGGAAGCATCAAAAGAAGATGAAAGAATACAGAGTCACTGTACAAAAAAGAATCTGTCAACACCCAGCCACTTCAGAAGGTAGTGTATTATCAAGAACCTATGGTACTGAAGGAAGAAATCCAAGCTGCACTGAAGACACTGCGGGAAAAACAAAGCTCCAGGAATTGATGGAATACTAGTTCAGATGTTTTAACAAACAGACATAACGGTGGAAGTGTTCAACTGTCTATGGCAAGACATGTCTATACCTGGCCAACTGAATGGAACAGATCTGTATTTGTGACCATCACGAAAGAAAGGTGATCCAACAGAATGAGGAAATCATACTCTCTCTCTACACACACACACACACACACACATATATGTATACATATAAAATAATTGTATCATTATTATCACACGCAAGTAAAATTTTGCTAAAGATAATTTAAAATTAGTTGTAGTAGTACACTGACAGGGAAATGCCAAAAATTCAAGCTGGATTCAGAAGAGGATGTGGAACAAGAGATAAATCATTGCTGATGTCAGAGGGATCTTGGCTGAAAGCAAAGAATACCAGAAAGATGTTTACCTCTGTTTTATTGAGTATGCAACTGTGTGGAACATAACAAATTATGGATAACATTGTGAAGAATGGGAATTCCAGAACACTTAATTGTGTTCATGTGGAACCTGTACATAGACCAAGAGGCAGTCATTCAAACAGAACAAGGGGATACCATGTGGTTTAAGTTCAGGAAAGGTATGTGCCAGGGTTGTTTCCCTTTACCATACTCATTCAATCTGTATGCTGAGCAAATAATCTAAGAAGGTGGAGTGTAAGAAGAACACAGCATCAGAATTGGAGGAAGACTCATTTCACAGTCTCTGCTATGCAGATGACAGAGTTTTGCTTGCTGAAAGTGAAAAGAACTTGAAGCACTTACTGATGAAGATTAAAGACTACAGCCTTCAGTATGGATTATATCTCAACATAAAGAAAAAAAAAAAGAAAATCTTCACAACTGGACCAACAAGCAGTATCAGGATAAATGGAGAAAAGACTGAAGTTGTCACGGCTTTCATTTTACTTGGATCCATAATTAATGCTCAGAGAAGCAGCAGTCGAGAAATCAAATGATGTATCACACTGGGCAAATCTGCACCAAATGATTTCTATAAAGCGTTAAAAAGAAATGATGCCACTTTGAGGACTAAGGTGTGCCTTGACATAAGCCATGATATTTTCAATTGCCACATACATATATGAAGCTGGACAATGAATAAAGAAGACCAAAGAAGTATCGACGCATATGAATTATGGTACAGCCAAAGAATATTGAGTATACCATGGACTGCCAGAGAATTAACAAATTTGTCTTAGAAGAAGTGCAGCCAGAATGCTCCGTAGAAGCAAGGATGGGAACACTTCAGCTCTTGTTCTTTGTGTATGTTACCAGGAGGGACCATTCCCTAAGAACATCCTTCATGGTAAAGCAGAGGATCATCCAAAAAGATGAAGACCCTCAATGAAATAGATTGACATAGTGGCTGCAATAATGGGCTGTAACATAGCAATGATGGTGAGGATGACACAGGACTTTGCAGTGTTTAGTTGTATTGTACCTACAGTTGCTATTAGTCAGAACCAACTCAATGGCACCTAACAATAACATTGAACAATCTGCTCATAGCACAAAGTTTATCCATTCTGTTCTCAGGAAAAGAAAAACCAACTGCCTTTCTACTGTACCCTTTTCCCTTTTTCTTTTAGCTAAAATAAATTCTCTTCACTGAAGAATCTAGTGATTGTTTAGATCCTTAGTAATTTCTTGGACAGTTACCCAAGGCAAAGCAAATGAGTATTTCTTTTTTACTTTATGATTAGGGAAAGGAAGAGACAAAGAATAGCAGAGGTGGGAAAAAATATTATTCTAATTCTAAGACAAGTTGCTTTCTTTAAAATGATTTTCTACAACATCAATAGTTACAGTTTTAAAAATCTCACATATCCATATTATTATAAACCAATTCTTCAGTATATTTCAGATTTAGGTTCTTGTGGAAAATCTACAAACCAAAAAAAAAAAAAAAACACCAAACTCATTGCCATCTAGGTGATTCTAACTCATAGGGACCTCTTTCGGGTTTCCGAGGCAGTAAATCTTTACATAAGTAGATTGCCCAATCTTCCTTATGAGGACTGGGTAGTGGGTTTGAACCACCAACCTTCTGGTTAGCAGTCAAATGCCTTAGGCACTGTGCCAGATTTTCCTGTAGACTTTGTCGTAGGAAAATCTACAAGTCCTACGCCAAAACCCAAATCACTGTTATCAAGTCGATTCCAACTCACAGCAACCCCCATTGGGTTTCTGAGGTGGTAAATCTTTACCAAAGTAGATTGCCCCATCCTCCTTCTGCAGAGCCGCTGGTGTGTTTGAACTACCAACCTTCTGGTTAGCAATCAAATGTCTTAGGGGCTGTGCCAAATGAGTCTCCTATTTTTAGTAAATCTCCATAAATCCCACAGAGGGTACTAAAAATAAGAGACTCATTTTTGGCATGTCCTCAAAAATATTTTGTATCTTTGAATCTGAGAAGAGAATTTAGGTAAAACAACATAATGTCAGTTTAAATAACCATGGACAGGAATATCAAGATTTCTAAAAGTTTCTTACTGATATTATGTAAGCTTCTTAATTTAAAACCTAAAAAAAAATATACTAATAACTTTAATATCAAAGAATAAAAGTGAAAGATTTTCTAAAGCCACTTCAGTCAGTGATCAATCACAGGAAACCAGAAGGGCAGTGTCCGCACAGGAAGACAGCTTGTGGGGCAGGAATGTATGGGAGGGAAGGGCACAGGGAACAGATAACTACGGGGATGAAGTGGCAAGAGAGCTATCACACTGTGGGGAATTACAGTCAATGTCATGAGACAAAATGTGTATGAACTACTGTATGGAAAATGAATTTGCTCTGTAAACTCTCACCCAAATCATAATTTAAAAAACAAATGAAAAATAAAGCTGCTCAATCCACAATTACAGATTAAATTTCAAGTAAAACATGTTTGAAGATTTTATTATAGTCATGTTTCAATCAGAGTACCATCAGCTCTGAATCATCTACAAAACAGAAGGTGCAATTTCTTCCTTAATCTGTAATAATTTTGTAAGGACTTTTCTATAGTTGTTCTTAGGGAAGCAAGTCTCTTAAAAGCAAAAAATGTTTATAGGAAAGCAGTTTCGTTATACAATTTATCACTTTGCTCATGAAAACATTAAAATTAGTTTCTT